GCTGGAATAGTTACGCGTACTGGCGTCCTGCGCACGCCGCCGGCGAAGTTTATAAAAGTTATTCGTTTACATCCTCCGTAGACGGACGCGCGGAGAAAGAGCGAGGTCATGGCGTGAAAAGCGAGCGAGGAAGCGGCGGGAAACGAGTGAGATGGAGGTATGACTTACGCAACAACAGCAAATAACGCTAATGAGCTCGCTCTACGTATTCTTTCAGGCGGGAACCTCACTCCCTCTCTCTCTCTCTCTCTCTCTCTCTCTCTCTCTCTCCAGCTGCCTCTACCCCCCTCCTTGGAAAGAAGTCAATGCTGAAGAAGAACCGTTGCTACAAAATCCAACCGACGATACGTAATCGCGTTTCTTAAAGGCCGACATCACGTGTTTTGTATGTGTTGTATCTCTATAAAAGACTATTATACTACGCATAATAGGATATAATAAAAACTACTCGCGAATAAGAATACGCTGTAAAAAATGTATTGAATTTAATTTCCTATGTCTTAATTTATCCATTCCAATTTTTGCATTTCGTTTATATTTCACAAAAAATTAGTTCACTGAAGAAAAAATACTTGAATAATTATTTGTACATACGAAATTTATTTTACAGAAATAAACTTTATTTCACAGAAACAGATTTTATTTCGCAGAAAAAATTTATATCTCATAAATAAATTTTCAAGTATTTTTCTCTCAGTGTTTATTCAATAAAACTTTACTTTTCCGTGTGTAAAATATGTTATCACAAGAATATATATGTCAAATAATTTATGTCATCTTAACACAAATAAATTGTGTCACCTTAACATCTAGAAACGTTAAATATGAACCCTACGCGAAATTGTAAATGTAACACGACGACAGTATGTCAAATTGACACATACAGGTATGTTAAAAATTTAACACAAAAACTTCTGCACGGATCGATTTTAATACAATTACAAAATATTTTTTACTGTGTAGCAATGATAGAAAAACAGCAGTAAATAATAAATATACCGTAATTAAAATACACTAAAAGAAATAATATCTATAAAAAAATAAATATTCGATGGCTATTAATAACATATTTGCTCGTATTAACATACATATTTTTATACTTAGAGAAAAATTTCCTTCTAATAAGAAAATATGTGTTTTTCTAAAACTGTTGTTTTTCATGAAAAAGCGCGGTGGTTTATATAACTTAAACAAAAGAATTCAGCAAATATATTATTAGTACCGAACATATATTTTTTATTCCTCAGATATTTTTTTCTTAGTGTATTATCAATTTCACTATCATTGTGCATCATTTACCGTTACAATTCCCCATGATACTTCGTCAAAATATCAATAATCTGTTACGTGTTAACGTTATTATTATTGCGAGCCTATTTACTGCGAAATAATCGTCTTCACGGATTCCCACAGCAATTTGATCCGGCGAATTGCCGCGCAACACGTATAAAACGCGATGAGCCGGCACGGCAAAGTGTAACGAATACTATCGAGGTCGTCGAGCAACATCTTTCGTGAACGTAGCGCGAATGCAGGTAGCGGCGATTAGGATTAGCACGCGTGCACGGGCATCATCAAGCCGACCCGATTAGATATCGCGAAAAAGCCGACGCGAATGCACGACCGTCATAAGCATTCTGCAAAATGCGACCGCGCGTTTCCGAGCGTCTCCGTTCGTCCGTTTCGTAATGCGCTTCCTCTGCACGGTATCATTACGCCACGTGTATCGCGTATCATTATTGCGTCAACGTAATAAAGTTTACCGTAACGTCGCGCAACAGAACAAGCAAATCGAGATCTATTATTCGCCCTCGTCATTTTTGCTGTCGCTTCTTCGCGCGACACGGCAAAAATATATTCCCTCCGTTCGCGTTCATCGCAACGGAATAACACGAAACTGTCTGCGTAACGTCGTTCGAGATGTCGAAATGTGTCAATGTGGTCGTGTCATCCCTAATCCGTAAAATAAGAATGCGGAAAATGAAAAAATGCGCATGGCTTCGCGTGACAGAGATGATCGGTATTCGTTATTTTCCATACGCGCGCGGAAAAAGAATTTGGTCGGATTAACTAAATGTCTAGTGAAATATGAACGAAATTCTTCTGATTGAAGTCACCAAAATTCTGTGCTCAAGTTAACAAGATTCAAGTTAAATAAAACTCGCAAATATTCAAGTCGAACAGTTCCGTTCAACCAGAAATGTTGTTAACTCGAACAGAATTCTGACAACTTTGAGCGGAATTCTGATTAAAGTTCATATTTCACTAAATATTTGGTTAATTCAATTAAATTCTTTTTTTCACACGTGACGCTCTTTTCACCCTACTGAGAATACACGTCTTGCACGGGCTGCTCTCTTAAAGTGTATCAGTAAAAATGTTTCTGATCAGCAATGAATCAGTAGAAGAATTAATTCATCAACAATCAGTGAATATACACACTAATTTTCAGTGAAAACACTCCCAGTTTATTGCTTCATCTTAATTCTATCGATTTTGATCAGTGGGAGTTAAGATTCCACTGTAAAATTTGCGATAAATTCGTTATACATTATACTAAATCTAGGTTTTTATGTTTGTAACAGATATAACAATGGAATTAATGTTTCCATGCACCTTGCGTGTGATAGCATTGCCTGTGTTCGCTAAATGCATCGATAATCACAATCATCGTTACTATTAACTGATTCAATCAGCGAGATTTTACTGATTACAATGCTATGATATTTATTGAACCATCAGTAGTAAATATAGTATTTCAGTGAAGAACACATTTTGATTATACTTTTCAGAGAGAGTGCGAAATCGAATTCTACTGCCCAGATTCGTTTGTCGTGTTCTCGTGTCGCTTCTGCAGCGCCAAGGAGAGATTTCTTTCGAAGATGTTTCGTATCGCGAAAAGAGAAGTGTGACGGGGTAGGAGGCAGCAGATAATACGAGGAGCTTCCCATGTGTCATTGTTTGAGAAGCCGCAAATGTGTCAGCGGACGTAATCTGCGCTCTTTACGAGGCGCTGCGTAAATTTGGAAAAAATGCGAGTCGTGTTGCGCAACGGAACTTGGTATTAAGTTCAGCAATTTTTTCTACACGATATTTTTACGCGTTGCGCAAAAAATAACGCCTTCCAGAGATGATACATGGTGACGCTCTCTGTCGCGCGGAATAACGCGACACACATACATGCCGCGTTGTAAAACGCAGCGAGAAATAAAAAATTTTGATAGTTCTCAAAGTTTCAGAAAGCATACTTCCTAACTTTTTATATATGACATTTTTCGGCAATGCTTCTCCCGCCGCGATATTACAAAATACGACGAACTATAAAACTCTCGGTGTAAATGCTCTTAAAACGTTGTTGTCGGAATTCTCTACGATCGACATCAAACGACAACAATCGCAAATTTTGGAGCGCTATCCTCGATTTTTCAGAGAAGTGTTGAGAGTCTTTTTTTTTGTTCAACGCACTACCATGTCCAGTATTCGACGTTCAAACGGTCCCGATTCTAGCAAAACATTCACTTCATCAGCTTAACCAGAAAAACACTCGATGACAAGCTGAGTCAAAATTTTAGCCCCACTTTAGACTCAAACACTTTTCAACAACTTTATATTCTAAAATAATTAGTGTATATTTAATATATGTGGAAACTAAAATCTTACTTAACGCCTCTGAATGGCAGAAAATATGCAAAATGCTATTTGTAAGTCTTATCAAAAGAACCTCCCGGTAAAGGTAGTAGATTAAACAATCAACAGAGGATGATATGGACTTCATGGTATCAAAATAACTCTCCAGTAAGCGCGTGCAGTTTTGTTCTCACTTAGGCGCGTAGTTTACTATTGTAAACTACGTTTCGGCCCTTATAAGTAAAATTCATTATATCCGACTTTCCAAACAACTGTATAAAGTATTAATTCTGAGTCTTGCCAAAATATATAAATTTTCTTCGAGAATATATATAGTATAAACAATAGATTATGTATATAAAGAAGGTGTGTATCTCTGATTCGTGATGTACAAACGTTGGTCTATAGACCACATGTCTATTGGAGAGTTAACGCCTATGATACTCTGAAGCCCATATTAACCTCTGTTGAGTTTGTCTAACCAACTAGCTGTAGGGAGATTCTCTTTAGGACCTAAAAGTAACATTTTGAACGTTTTCTGCCATTTAGAGGCGCTGAGTAGGATTTCAGGGTTAGTTGGGGTATGGTGATCGAAGGATGAAAATTCCTACTGGGGAACAAACGCGCAGGGAAAACGTGCAACGCGCGGCAACTATGAACATTATCACAGAAGAACTCGCAGTGGCCGGAGAACCCGTTACTCGTATTCCGGTCAGTAATGGCATACCCTCATAAAGAAGCCGCTTTTCAGCTTGTTAAGTGACGATACCTGGCGGCATCGCGCGAAAAACGCATCGATGTACACAGGTCGGCGGATAATAAGCGTGACGTGCAAACGGTCGCGCGCGCGAAAGAAGATAATGTCCACAACGGTAAGATCCGTACTCTCCTGCAAACGGGACTCGTCCTCGGTCGAACGGACGTCGATCGTCAATGTTGCGAGAGCTAGGCAGGTAGAGGTAGGTATACAGGGCGTCTCTGGTTTTAAGCGACTAGTCATGTACACGTAGAACTCGTTGAACCGAACAGAGAAATCATTGCCATTTCGTAAACTGCTACGTCAATTCTCGGGATATCAACGAAGGAATATCGCGGTCAGTCGACCAAGTAGTAGATATCGGTTTCGCCGATATCTCGCAATACTGGGCTCGCCAATTGTTCTTCACTGATATCTCGAAATTGTACGTGGCTGTTCGAGGAATGGTGGAGGAATTTGTTCCTCGGTTTGACCTGATCTGACCTCTGCACACGTGCTCTCGACAACCTCGGGTGTCAGACATCCTGTTTGTCACGCGTATACACGAGGGAACGTCGCGACAATCGCGATTAGGGGAGGTCTCATTCAATCATTACTACGTGTGTCTGCCACATACCTGGACTGGTTTGCCAAGACAGGCCGCCGATGAACATTTTCCTAGAAAAGAAAGACGATTCCATCAGGCACGCCGTCCGGCAGCGGGTCGTTGGCGGAAGAGGAAGCGGACGCGGGGAGACTGTCGGCAGAGGGTAACTTCCGGTTACTACTTTTGCAACCCCCTGCGCAGTCTCCCGCCCTCGACGGCAGGTGTCACCACACATCAACCAACAATCGAACAACACCCGTCTCTTCTTGCCACGCGAACACGTTTCGACGCGCCCCGATCGGATCTCCCGCGATCACGGAAACGCACAACGCGAACTACGCGCTTGCCTCCTCCTTGGACCGGTGCCTCCGTCTCGTATCCTTCCCTTCTTCTTCGCGAACTTCAGCCGCTCACCGATCGACCCACCACCACCGATCGATCGATGGATCGATCGCTCATTCAACTTTCGCTGCTTCTTTCTCTCTCTCTCTTTCTCTCTTTCTCTCTCACACACACACACACACACATTCCGAGGGGGAGGTTCCGTCCACCTTGAATTCGCACTGGAACGACTCACGATTTATCATATTCCCACGAGATCGACGGAAGAAACGAATTGATCGAGATGCTAAACAGACCCGAGGGACGCTATTCCACCTGAAGTCTTCAGCGCGAAGACGCTGATGCTTCGTGACGACCACTTTAGCGCATGGAAAATTCACAGAGCGACGAGCAACGCGCGAGAAACCCGGAAGTCTCGCGTACTCCGATGCCTAACGAGCTTCTAAAATCGAGGAGCCCATAAATTCTCAAATCCAATAGCTATTACGGGGAAAAAACCAGCGAAGCTTCGACGACCTAATTAATTACATTCGTGTGGGGCACTGCCTCGTGCCGAGAAGGTTCCCAAGCGCGAACACGCGCCGCTTATCGATCACCACGCCGAGGCGGAAAATCCGCGTAGAGCTGGCTGCTTTACGACTTCGTCAAAGGATCGATGGACGGGATCCCACGTGATTGCTAATTACCGGCCTACGCGGAGGGATACGGGAGTTACGTGCGTTTGCTTAAAGGCTTTACGACAATCCCACGTCGCCATAAAGAGCTCCAAATGAAGACCTGGCTCCATCAAGGTCGTCGGACGATAAAAAGCGCGACTGCGCTTCGATGGCTTTTTAGATTGGCCACGAACCGGTCCGCGAATAATCCGGCCGACGGCGGCGGCGGCGGCGGCGGAGGCGATGGAGGCGGTGGAGGCGGCGGGCGCGGCGTAATCGCCGGTCGTCGAGGAAGAGAATCGCACTTCCTGCACGTCGGCCTATACCAGCAACGACGACCATAATCGAACCACGTACGCGTCATTAATTAGCCGGCTTAAGTATCCGTCAGCGTGCGTCGATAAGGAAACGACCTCCCACCCTTTTCATTCATGATTTCCCCCTCCCCTCTCGCCTTTCCGCCACGCACGCGGAGGAAGTCCCCACTCCGCGGGGACTGCTTGCGCTGCTCTTCATCATCGTCGTCGTCGTCGTCGTCATCGTCGTCGTCGTCGTCGTCGTCGTCGTCGTCGTCGTCGTCGTCGTCGTCGTCGTCGTCGTCGTCGCAAATAATCGCACCTCGCATTATTACACAGCGAGATAACGCTCCCGCTTGGACGTGGACGTAATCACGTGGTGGCGCATTTGAACATCGATTTTCCCGAGCCGCAATATAGCCATCTTCCTCCCACGCGTTCTCTCTCGCTCTCTGTCTGCTTCTCTCTCTCTCCCTCTCTCCTTCCTCTTCCCACCGCCACACAACGCTCGTCCTCTATGTATAGCTATCTATCTACCTCTATTCACCTATCCATCTAGAGGTCCTCCTAATTGGAAGAATCAAAATGGGCTACCGTTTCCTAGCGCATAATCATCTCGAGAGTTAACTCTGGAACGGGTATCATCCCACAGATCATTTCGACGGAGAATAATTTATTGCTCTTAATGCAAATGTCGCCGAGAATTTACGCTTTCCGAATAGAGTAAGAGAGAGAGAAAGAGAGAGAGTGAGTCAGAGAGTGGAAAAGAGATTTTCGTAAACAAACCGAGATAATATCAAGATTCCCGACGTCATTATGTAATTATTTCACCTCGAAGTTCTACGATTTCAGTCGATATTATCTAGAATGTCACACGTGACCTGCAGACCTGTAGCTGAAAGTACGTGTGCCTGGCTTGTACGCGCTCTTGCTTTCTTACAGAAAAGTATCGACACACCCACGTAATATTCCAACGTTTATTCGGGAATCTAAACACGTTGCTGCAAGGAGTTGTCGATGTCGCATTCGTCGTGCCGTATTGTCGGTCCATTCGTATTGTCAATTTCCGTTTGGATCATCTCTAAGTATATTTATACTACGGAGCACATTCGATATCGATTCGGGCAGCGTGCACTCCGGGAGTTTCACTTAGGGACTTTGCTCGCTCCGCAATGAATCATGTATCGGGAGAGTTACGTGGACCGCGCAAACAATTCGACAGTTCCGGTTTTCATGCGGATATGATCAGCTAAGCCAATTGCTTGTATATCAGGTCGACTCGGGAAAATATTGTCCCAAGAAATCGGAGTGCTCGATCAATTGGAGTGCGCGCCTAATCGATCAATCGGTTCGCAGTACATAATCCTCCTCAGCGCGAATATATTTTTGCGTTCCTTAATGTCCCTTAATGTCCCCAGCCGGGGACATTGTTCAGGGGAGCATGAGCAAGCGTTCGCAAGAGATTGCGGTTTCTCGGCGTCGCCAAGGAAGCAATGAAGTGTTCACTCGAAAATTCGCGATTTCTCGTCGCGAGAAGCGACCAAAAGCGGACGACAGTCGCACATGGTGAGAAGATCTCCGGAGGAGAACACCCAGATTGCTGCATCATGGTTGAATACGAGTCGTCGACCAAACCCCGACACCGTCCGATGAACAACGCGTTCGACAGAGTGCGATCTAACGAATAGCAATCGAGTCGGTGAGCCGCGCTAACGATGGCCAATGCCGTGTTCACCAGCGAACAAAAGCCAAGCCGATCGCGTTGTCGGATCGGTGTCGCGCACAGGACGAAAATCGACCACTGCGTGACCCGGCGAACGGCATAATCTAATCAGTTTATCGAGCACAACTGAAGGCGAGCGAAAATTCTGACATATTACTACAAACAGCAAAGCCCTCCCGTCGGACGAACGTTAAATCCGGACACAAACAGTCCAACGAGTTGGAATCGATTCGATACCTCGCTACCATCTTAGCCAGAGACATGGTGTAATCAGTTCGTCAAACACAAACGAAGCCGAGCGAAATCGTCGCGCACCCTCTCCAGCAGACCTCAAATATGCCGGACGGTACGTTAAATCGACCAGCAGCCAGCGGGCTATCGATCGACCGATCGATTGATCGCGCGAACGAATGGTTGAATCCCCGGGCCCGACTCGAAATCACTACACGTCCCCGCTCGCTCTCTCCTTGCCGCGGTCGCGCCGCCGTTTTGCCGTAGCGAGGATCACGTGACACGGCCACGCGTGATCTCGCCGAAAGAGTCGGTCCACCACGTGGGCATCGCGCGAGGCGCGGTCTTCACGTGTGGTATTCCGAGAGATTTCGCGTTCTTTCGAGGCTGCGATGTGCGGCCGCGGCTGTAGGCGGCTGATTCGAAGGTGGCGGCGTCCTCCTCCTCGTCCTCCCTCCATCTTCCATTCATCCGACCCCCTCTCTCCCACCCCCACACCCGCCCCCGCCGGCGCGAGGGTCTATGAGACGCTGAAAGAAGGCGCCACCGGTCCGAGGAGAGGCACGCATATTCACGCGCCCGGCAAACATAAACACCATGCGTGTCGCGGGCTCCATGGCGGCAATCGCGCATTCACGTCCTCGACAGCACCCGCTCGGGTCGCGAGACCACGGCGAAGAGGTCTGAGACCCGCTTAGGAATCGTGATCGACGTTACAACCGGCACTGGCACGGAGCAGGGAAACAGAAAACACAAGCCTTCCCGAAAGGACGAACGATCGTCGCGCGGCATCATATCAACGCACTGAGAACGAAAGCGCTCCATTTTCCCTCCCCTAATCCTTCTTCTTTCACATTCTCCCACGTATCCATATACACATGCACCCTCTTCCTTTCTCTCTCTTTCTCTCTCTCTCTTCCACGCTCCTCGCTCACTCGCTCTCTCGTTCTCTCTTTCACTCTGTCTCTCTCTCTCTCTCTCTCTCTCTCTCTCTCTCTCTCTC